GTGGTCGTGGTCGTGGTCGTGGTGGCGGTGGCGGTGATGGCAGTGGTGGCGGTGGTGGTCGTGGTCATGGTCCTGGTCCTGGTCGCTCTTGTCGTCCTCGTTCTCCTTCTCATTAGTAGCAGCACCAGTAGCAGTCGCATTCGCAGTCGTGCTACAGCAGTAGCAGGAGCAGTAGGAGGAGCAGCAGCAGAAGCAGCAGCCGCAGCCGCAGCAGGAACAGCAGCGGCTCGCCAGTGTTGTTGCAAAAGGCGGCAGCAGTGGTGGTGGCGCGCGGTGGCGGTGGTAGTAGTGATCGCGTTGGCGTCCATCTTAGATGGCTTGGCAACTAGCCAGTCTCCTCTACCCTAGCTGTCCGAGCTCCCCTCCCGCCATGCCAAACGGGGCTGCAGCAGGTCTAGATTCTAGCTTCTCATCATGCCCTGTTAATCTCGGTTCAAGCTTGGCGTGGTAGACGCAGCTTCCAAGAGACTTGGTGCCTGAAAGGTTCGCAGTGCATGTGACCTCTGATACTCCTTTTCAATCGAGGGCCGAAAATTAACGCGACCTAAGAAGGCTTCATCCGAATTAAACCCGAGAAGCACCGCATTCAGCGTGGTACTGTAAAGACAAACCCACACACCCGGCAAGCATAAACTTCTCAAGCCCCCACACCCCTGACTGTGCATCATGAATCACACCCCAACGCTTCATCTCCAAAACACCTAGATGGCCTCCTAGCAAACCAACACCAAACTGCCGAACCCCAGGAATGAATTTGTATTTCAGAGCTACAAATCCATTCTAGGTCTTGTTGCCATGCTGAGAGCCCTTGTTCCGTTCTTCCAAGAGTTTGCTAGAATTAAGGGCAGCCATGAGACCATGAGCGTGAAAACGAGGTGTAAGATAGGGATCTAATGAGGACCCCAAGATTGCGGGCCGAATAATGGATCCGCGCCCGCTACATCTTTGACACAGGTGGCCGGATTGCAATGGCACCCCTGTTTGTGGAGATCGCAGCTTGGCAAAAGGTTTTTTTCTTTGAATTATGAATAGCTCTGATCAAAGTGACAAAGCGCTTGCATCAAGTACTTTTCGCATACAGGGCCTCAAAAGAGCTGGCCCAAGCTTCAGAAGTACCCACAGTACCGTATGCGTCGGTGAACCCATTTTTTTGGTTTCTGGTTCGGAGTGCCTACCATGCTTGCCAGCCACACGCAAAGTCAGGCCTCAACCCACTAATACTGATTATGTTAATGTCCTTGCATGTTCCTCGTCGTTCACCATTACTGGGTAGGGGCCTACCGCAATCAAATGGCCTACTATGGGAACTTAAGCTATTACCAATATCATGCTCCAGGATTGTGCGCATGAGTAGGCTACTGGTGTAGGGTACCTCATATAGACCTTAAAATGATGTTGGTAATTATGTCTCTACAGCACAAGCTTGAATATTAGCCTGAGCATGAGGAGCAAGTTCTGACGACACTTAAACTGCCAGTGCAAGCTCTTTCCGCCCCCCCCAACCGCCGCAATAATCTGGTTTGCTGTTGCGGAATTATCTTTAAGTTGCCACAATGCCACAATGGGTATATATAGTTATTTATTAATGTGGTTTCCCGATTAGAGCAACTATTATATTGGGCGGGGGTTATTATCGGTGGGGATAAGGTCCCTAAGGCACCCATATTTTCAGACCTCCCACGTGAGGCGGTCTTCAGCATGTGGGGATGCATGCTTATAATCGGCGGGCTTGTTCTGACCTCACAGTCGCTGGACCTTATCAGAGTAGGCCCGTTAGTGCCACTGACGGTGTTGGCTTGCGTGATGCCCTTTGCTGTGGGACTACACATAATGCGAAGGACTCTGTACCACAAACATTTGCTATTAGAAGGCCTGGCCATGTTTGATCTGCGACATGCCCAATGTCGCTTAGAGAGTGACCGAGATTTCGTGCACAAAGCCATCATTGATTGGTATGGCACTGCGGAAGCCTTCACGGACTATGTGCGAGGGCCACTGCACGACGAGCTCTTGAAGTCCTCGCTAAATTTTACGATTCCTGCTCAATATTACGCCATTATTCTACTTGGATTTGTGTCAGAGAGCCTGGATGAACTGCTGGGCTTGGTCGTAGCACGTGCTCCCTGGAGAAGTATAATCGGTCACCTCATTGGCCACACCATCGGCATGTCTGCGTGGGTCATCATAGCGCTGGAGCTGTTGGCTTACATCAGCTACTCATTGGTGGTTGGCAGGGAATGCAGGAAGGGACCCCATTGGTCTTCTGTATATAATTTGCAAGGTTCCCTAGAACTTCTAGAACCTATTTCTTCACTACCCAGCACTAGTAAGGTTATCGTTGGGCGGCACCGCGCAAAAGCTGGGCGTTGAACGTTGGGCTTTCATTCCTGAGTTTCCTGCCTTTCCCTTTTTACATAGGCTTAGGTTCTTCGTTGACCCGTGCAGCAGTTCGGAGGGGCTTGCGTCAGAGCTTTGTTATTGCCTTCCTGTCTACAACGGCCTCGTTCTGCACGGTGCGTTTCAACCGGCTCCATCCAGGACAAAGTGTCTGGGCCGCTGGTTTAGGGTTTAGGCCTGCCATTTTGCACATTTGTGAACTTTTAGGTGTCCATGCAAAGTTATACAGTTGCTGTAGGTGATTGTGAACTTTGACGATCAAACAGGAATTGACGCAGTTGCAGCATCACCTCTTCAGCCCTTTCCATGAAACTTGAAACTGCTAGACTCCATAGGCCTTAAGCTCTACCCTATTTAAGCTCTAAACCCTGAACGCTGAACCATGTTGAGCCTAGACTCAAAACTCCAGGCTTCTGGAGCTTCTGCCCTAGGCAAGCAAGCACCAGCCCGCCGTGAAAAAAACCAAGAGACTGCCAGCAGACGTGATCTAGGGTTGTAGGGAAAGGATTAGGGTTTACTTGGTCAGGGGGACGAAGTAGCTTAATAATATGGATAAAGCTTGTTATTCTGTGGCTAATGCGGTTTTTAGTAAGGGTTCCGGGGGTTACTTTAGATCCTAAAGACCTTCAGTGCCGAAAGCTGAAGGTTTGTTGGTCCGAAAATACTCCCTTCTTAAAGCAAGGGACTGTTGAGTCGCGCTCCTTGCAGGGGCTTTGCAGGGGATTTGCGTTCAGGATTTATGGCTTTAGGGCTGCGAGTTTTGAGTTTAGGGTTGAAGGTTCAGGGTTGGGAGTTTCGAAAAACCTAGATTACCTAAATTGGTTGCTTTTGCAAGTATGAGTCTTGTTCGGGGCTCCTCTCATCACGACTCACTTCTCTTGCGGTTAGCAGGTGGGACCTTCATAGTACAGTATCCATATCATCGTAGAGATGAGAGAGAGAGAGAGAGTGTCAACACTCTTTGAGATTTTGAAGTACACTTGTGTTGGAACATGTTCTCGTTGTTTCTCAAGCTGATTGTAGCATATTGGGGTCTACATTCGGGCACCCAATGTATGAGACACCGCATAGATGAAATTGGACATGTTGAGGCCCCTACTGATATGAGCTATAGTCTAAACTCCTTAAAGGGGGATTATAGAGGGGAGTATCATGGGGGTTATGAAGGGGGATGCTAGGAGTTTAGACCAGCCCATATGAGCCCTGGATTAAATGTAGCCTATCCCTTAATAGGTCCCCCCCAACCTCCTAAATTGAGTCCGCAGCCCACATGGTTCAAGATCCTGACCTCGAATCCAGAAGGCCGCTAAACCCTGGACCCACAGCAAAACTATCCTCCCTTAAGGGAAGGATCTAGGGTTTAGGATTCAGGGTTTGGGGTCAAAATCATCACCTACTTCCCCAAAACCTGTACTGTAAATACTAGTAGCAAAGCCCCAAGCACTCAAGTATTGGGTACTTGGGACACTTATGGCTGTGACCGGAGATAAACCCTGAATTGGGTTTAGGGTTCAGGGTTTATTCCACACCCGAAACCCCTAAACCCTACATCAAAATGTCAAACCCTACCCAAAACCGTAAGCCCTACTTGGAGGGTTAGGGGGACTTAGTCAGTAGGTTAATAAGGGGGATAATAGTGGGGTTACTATATGGGTTATTGGGGTTAACCTACTTACTAAGTTTCCCTGACCCTCCAAGTACTTGAAGGTTCATGGGAAATAGTAACTACTCATAACTGGGCTTCTAACCCTCATTATACCCACCTAAATGACCTTATAGGGCCTACCCCAATTATAAGTAGGGTTATAATCCCGGTTATAAATAGTTACTATGTCTCCTGACCCTCCAAGTAGTCCCTAAGCCCTAAGCCCTAAACCCATTAACCCTAAACCCTAAAACCCTAAAACCCTAAACCCTAAACTCTAAACCCTAAACCCTAAACCCAAACCCAAGTAGTCCCTGAATCCTAAACCCCTGTTTGCTTGGAGGCCGCTCGTGCGCGCATTGGACTGCGAGATGGTCGGCGTTGGGCCAGCTGGGAAGTGCAGTGCCCAGAAATTACCCTCCCAGAAACTAACATGGAAACCCAAAAAGGGCCCTACAAAGACTAGAGTCCTTTCAAAGGGGGCTTTATGGGTTTCCATGTTAGTTTGGGGGAGTGTACCACTTTAAGAGTTTGAGGTAAGTAGATAGAATATGGGGCTTAGGGTTCAGGGTTTAGGGTTTAGGGTTCAGGGTTTACGGTTTTAGGGTTTAGCCCTATAGCCCCCCTTAAGTAGATAGAACATCAGTGTCATATTAGGGTTATGTAGGTATAATGGAAAGGAAAATGTGAAGCTACTATTTAGGGCTTAGGGTTATAGTCTCCCTTAAGTAGATAGAATGTGGGATATATGGGTATCTTATACTAAAATACCTAAAGCTATATTCTATCTACTTAGGGGTGTCCTATACCACTTTAGGGGTTTGGTTTTTAGGCTGTAGGGTTAGGGTTTAGGGTTGGGGTTTAAGGGGGACTTAAAGGGGATTTAAAGGGGGCTTGAGGGGACTTAAAGTGGTTTGGCGTTTCAGGGGCTTTGGGTTTTAGATGCGTTGTAGACTGAATGCCAAAATGCCTTTAGGGTTGAGAGGCCTTTGGGTGTTTTTTTTTGTGTTTTGTGTGTGGTTTTTGCGGTTTTAGGGTTTTAGGGTTCAGGGTTTAGGATTGTAGTCACCCTTAAGAAGATAGAAACTGGGGTATGTGGGGATCTTATCATAGTATACCTAAAGCCATATTCTATCTACTTAAGGGGGACTATACCCTGAACCCTAAGCCCTATCTACTTAAGGGGGACTATAGGTCTATGGTTTTAGTTCGGGGTTTTGGCTTCAGCATTCAAACCTGCCCAAAAGCATCCACCCACCTGAGTCAAAACCTCAAGAAGGATGAGCCCGAAACACAAGGATTTTGCGGTTTAGGGTTTAGAGTGTAGGGTTTTGGGTCTAGGGTTTAGGGCTCAGGGTTTAGGGTTAAGACTATTGTAGGTATATTAAGATCGTATTCATGAATTTCATTAGTATCGGCGGGATTGACCTAAGGCTTGAGTTTGTGAAGGTTTTGCGAAATAGGCTCAATCAAACTTTAGTATCACATGTTTACAGCATAATGTGCCCCGAGTCGCTATTCCAATTCATACTGAGGAGCACTGAAGGGATTTATGTCACCCCAACCCCGAAAACAAAAATCCTATAACAGTCATTATGTTATTAGAATAGGTTCCTAACTTGATGGGTTGAGGCAACTAAAATATCTTTTTTCAATTCGCTCAGCTCCTACGTACGTCTGGCTCACAAGGATCGATGCAATCCCCAAGAAGTAGTTCCATTTTCTTTTCAACCCTAAACCCTGAACCCCAAACCTTATATCACCCCATTATAGTAGCTTCCATTTTATTTCCATTATCCCAATATAACCACTAAACCCTGAACCCTAGAAGTTCCAGTCATTCAGTCCCTGCTAACTTCAGAGTTGCGTAGCATTTTAAATGGGGCTACAGTCTTAAGCTCCTTAAAGCGGGTTGGGGAGTACTATGGGGGTTATTCAGGGGGATACTAGGAGTTTAGACCCAATCGGGCTACTATAGTGGAGAGTAAGGTTAAGTCCTCCTTTTGGGTATTACATTTGGGCAAGAAGAATATCATCTTGTATGGTTAGCCACCAAAAATCTACTCTATTGAGTTGAGCTAGCTTACAGTTCGCTCCTCTGATCTGAGGAAGTCCGTTTTGATTCGGATCTCGGTGGTCAACCGGCATGGCAGGGCATCTTGACGTGCCTTACTTGGACGGTCAGAGGACTTAATAAGTAGCTGTAGCGCATTCACTCTAGTTCAAGGGTTATCACGAAGTCCTAGTCCTGTTTGGGTAGGACACCTCGCATTGTTCTTTCCGGTGCCCATGTTCAGGGCTTGGTATCTCCGCCGGAGATAAGAGGCCATGGCCGTCAGAGATGCAGATCGAAAGCAGAATGAAACTAGCATGTTTGTTCAACCCCATGGCCGTGAACTCTAGAACATCTAAGTTTTAGATGTTCTAGAGTTCCACTCCCTGGGTTAAACGAAAAAGCAAGCTAAAGTGGGAGGAACCTAAAGTGTGGAGCAGCTACGTGCCATTGTGGCTTAACCCAGGGCCTTGTCCTCTGAAGAGTCAGAGCGGAAGGAACCCGGGTTTAGCGTTTAGGGTTCAGGGTTAATGGTTTATGTTACTCCTTCCATAGAGTAGTTTCCCCAAAACAGGGAGACCCTAAGAAAGACCCCCAAATACTATAGTCCTTATTGCAGACTCCCCCCCCAGAAAAGGTACCCCTGGTATTGGGAAAGCCCCATAATGTTCACTATCTGTGACTGTTAGTGGGTGGGAGGAGAGTCACGGGTTGGGGGGAGTACTTGACCAGCATTTCGTGGTATTGCCAGGCCCTGCCAAACACTTAGTTACTCAGTAGTTGAGTGGGTATATTTGGGTACATATAATCCTAGTAGAATCAAAAGGTGAACTATTCTGGAGCCGGAATGCTCAGCAGCTAGGTTTTAGCTGCTTTCCGCGACAGTCTTGCAGGCACATAGGCAGTCTCTCTCAAGGCCTCTAGCCTACGGTTGAGCACTCTGCATGGTGCTTCGAAAGGGCGACAGTCTTGCCAGAGTTGTACCCTGCACACCTACCTAGCACCAACACCCTGCACAACAAGACTGCAATGTCATACAAAACGTACGCACCCCAAATAGACAAGACCAAACATAACAGCATCTCCCATTCTCCTAGTCCTAATGTTGTCAGGTACTCTTTGATTGCTTGACGGAGCCAGAAGAGGAGGCGCAAAAAAGCAACAGACCAAAGCCCCGCCTAGATCTCTCACATACCCATAACTGGGTTGCTGTTAAGGAACTTAAATTAAGTTACCATAGTGGGTATATTTAGTAAATAATAGGGTTTCCCCAATATAGTAACTATTAATTGCCCATAACAATTCACATACTCAACAATTAGGGTTTAGGGTTTTAGGGTCCAGGGTTTTAGGGTGCTGTTTTGTCAACGTTGGGGAGGTCCAGGTAGCTCTAACCCAGCAACCCCGCGCTCGACCCTAGGCACCTTATTCATGGCCTAAGGCGTTTGT